GGTGACCTTAATCCTGTCTTTTATCACAAGTTTTTCCTCTATTATAGTATCAAACTTCCTCCCATTTTCCTTAAGGCTTTCAGAGTTTCTCTGTGCAATTGTGCAGTCATCCTCCATAACATCTCTGGTTCCAAACTTGATAGTTCTGTCAAATTCAGTCAGTATGGTCCTGGTTTTTTTTTGTTAATATAATAAAATGAAAAGAGCTACCAAGGCTGGTAGATCTCAGGGAGGGTTCTTGAGGAGCATGAATGGTTGCTGCCTTCTGGTCCAGTTCCTTCATAAACGTTGCTGTTCTTCACCTACTTCACAGTTAAGATAATTTTAATTTCCTCTGGTATAGCTGATGGTTTCTCATATGCTACCACATCGTGTTTTGCAAACCCAAACTGAGAACAACTACTACTAGGTCAAGAAAAATCAGTTTAATAGCACATAGATGGAAGGTTAATCTGAAAAAGCTTCCTGTGGTATCCTATTCTGTCTTCTCTCTCTCTCTCTTTCCTTTGTCCTTAAAGCTGGTCTAAAATCTGCTGTAAAGCTGCTGTCATACTAAAGGGCCTGCACTTTCTCATCACATCTGCTCTCCCTCCCCATTCTTAAGGACAGGTGAACCATTTGCTTTTCTTCAGCTGCAGGGTTGCGTTCCCATGCTATTAAAAGCAGGAAAAGCCCTGTCCTCACCCAGCAGTTCTGTGTGTCAGTATTTGCAGGACTGGGCAGTGGGGATTATGAGTTCATTCACTTCTACATTTGGCTTTTACCTTGTTGTGGTAATTGTGATCCAGCACCTTAATTCCCAGGAAACTACTTGTGTTTTTCCTGAGTTTTTACACAGTTATCTTTATTTTAGCACAAGATCCTTGTCGTCTAAGGAACCAGCTCTCTCTTCTCATCTCCCTTTTCTCAGCAGACTAAGAATTCGGTGCATACATAGAAGAGTAGAGCCCCTATTTTATATTCTAAATGTACCTCAAGCACGTTTTGACTTAAATTCAAGCCTCCTCTTCATTCAAGTTGTTGAGCATCTCTTCAGCTTAAATGAATTATTTTAAGCTGAATCCTGAGTTTATCAGAGTTTGGTACCTTGAATTTGAGAAAAACAGCAACAACAACAAAAAGACTCCAAGCCCACCAAACAAAACCCTTAGTTGTAAACATGTTTTTTAGAAACTGTGATGTCTCAGTTCACAGCAGGAGCAGACAGGATGCACTGATATGATTAAATAAGAGAAGGAGGGACAAGCTGCCCTGTGTTGAGATTGTTGTGTGATACACAACCTTGTTTCCTGGCTCGTCATAAGAAGAATTCGCTAAATTCATTCAAAATAGGCAAAGCGTCTATTTTTATTATAAGCTCTGCAAGAACTACCTGACCTGCTCTCCACAGTACGTTCCTGGAAGAATGTGAACGGAAGAATAAGAACTTTTTAAAGGAGTTCTATGATTTGTTTCTATAAAACAAGTTCTATGATTCTTGTTTCTATAAAACAAGTTGTGTTTTACAGAAAAAGACATGTATCAAATAAACAAGAACATAGAAAACTAACACCTGAAACTGTGATACTTTAATGACAGAAGAAACTTTTTTTTTTAAGTCTGCAAAGTCTAAATAACAGAAGAGAGGGCCTGCCAGCTTAAGCAGTACTGTTGAGCTTTGCAAGTCTGGCTGCTAGGATCAGATCTTGTTCCTTGTGTTGATTTAGTTAGGAACTACAGGGGTGATTAGACATGCGCGTAAGGAACAGCGTTAGTGCTTCAAGAGGTTGACCACTTTTGGAAAGTCACATAGCAGCTTACAAGGTTTGTAATCAAAATGTCTGTACAGAGTGGGACAGGTCAGTGTAAGAGATCGTGAAAGCTCAGCTGTGAAATGTTTCTGTGAAGTGTTGGTCTGGCTCTAGGTATAACATTTTTAATTGATTCAAGGAAGACCAGGCTTGCAATTAGATGCTAATCAGCATTCCTATGCATGACACCCTTAGACACTTGGAATGTCAAAACAATTCTGACAATAATACAGTTTCTGTGACCTTTTCTCTTTTAATGAGAAAATTCTCTGTGTGAAATAGACTTACACTCAGTTCGGAAAGGACTTTGTCATCTAGCCTAGGAAATTCTAAACAGGATTAATATTTGCAGTTTTAAAAGGAGGAAAGGGGATTTCTTCGGGGTAAAACACTGAAATACTTTTTCTATTCAAGTCCCTGTTAAATATTATCTTTCCAGGTCTTGGCTGTAGAGCACAGTTCAACTGAAGAAATTTTCTGCCTGAAGCCAAAACAAACAGAAAATCGCTAACAGAAATAGGGTGGGAGCCTTCAAACAGAAGATGTAATGGTTATTGGTTTCAGAGGTGAAGAAAATACATTTAAAGGTAAGAGAAAATGCAGGAAGATTGCTTGGTACATCTTGAAATAAAAGAACCTCTAAGGTTACTTATAGGTTTTTGTTACCTGAGCATTAAGGTGACCTTGAAGGCTACTTTAGATGGTATTTCTTTGATTTTTATTCTCACACAGCAAAGTATAACCCTTTTTCTCCTAGGAATACAATGGAGATATTTATTGGATCTACCCTGCAGCTCTTGGGAATGAAACAGAAAAATCACTTAGTTAAAAATGTGATTTTCCATTATTATGTGTGCACTGATATTATCAAGAGGGTTTTTTTTCTAGCATAAGCCTTACAATTCCAGTAGGACATGGGCAGTATGAAGGCCATTTACATATGCTCCCCGTTTGTTTTTCTATGTCTTTTGGCTTATGCTAGAGACCATGTCCAAAGCCTACTGAAATCCTGCTTCAGTAGGATTTAAATGAGACCATACTTCACTCCCACATTAAGTGAAACAATTGCATTTATGGATTTTAGGAATTACTTTTGCAGTGTGCTGTTTTTAACAAAATAGTAGGTTGCACTGTGGGATGAAAGCAAGAGGAATCTCTTTTTTCTTTGCCTCTTTGCAACCTCTACCCTCAGGTCCCTCCCTTCTTCTGGATTTCGGTATGTAGAGATAAATAGGTACTATATTCCTCAGGGTCCCGTCTAGCTCAGATAGGTGAGACTGGACTCTGAAGTGAGATATAACATCCCATTTTTCGTATGGGTCATGGGTAGGTTACTACATCCATGAAGTGAAGGATGGCACTCCTGAGCAACACGGCTACATGCTTGTTCTATAATTCTCGGGCTGGAATTATAGCCACATTCCAGTCCATAGCATAATCTAACCATAAATACAACAGCACAGAGTCAGCACATACTATGTTTGAAATGCCCATCTGTCATAAGTATCTATTCGAGAAAGGCTGTGATCTGAACAAGGGCTGCACAAGATTAGCTTCTGCTTTAAGATTATGGCAAGGATTACAACACAAATTAAATTTATTTGAAGTTCTGGTTTATGTCAAATTACATCAAGGTGAAAGATGGATATTGGTCTGCCCATAGCCTCATAGAAAATAATGGGTTAATGTTTGCTTAGAGTAGTGTAAGCGATTAGGACATAAGCTGTCCCTTGAAGTTGTGCCTAAACCCCTTGAGTCCCTTTCAGAACCGAGCAATGTTCTCTGCTCAGAAGTTGTTAGCCTGTTCCATTTATTTTTTAGTTTCCTTGGCTGGTATAAATGGATGCAGTGAAGTTTGAATATTTTTCACCAGCTGAGGTCCTGATCCCAAAGTGGTTGAAATGGAGGAGAGTTAAAGGATAGTTAGGGTAATAGGTAAGAGCTGTACAGGGACATCTGCTTAAACGTATGTTCTCTAAGCACTTATCCTGAATTTCTGCTTTCTAATGTCTGAACCACACAGAACAAGTCTACACTGGTTTACAGGCTGTTTAGCCCTTGTTGTCTGGTACAGAAAAGGTTAATGACTGAAAATCTACTGCAGGAATGAAGAAGTACCCCAAATATTTTTTGGCAGCTGCAATATTAGAAAGAGTTTGCTGTAATTCCCTGCAGGTGAACCTTTATAGCTACGCTGTTAGGATGCTAATATTTCTTTTGAGATGCTCACATGTGTTTACTTTTAAAGATGTGTAAACCCCACTGAAAATGCTCACAATGGGTTTGCAAACATTGTACCACCATTCGAAAATAAATTTAAACAAAATCACGTCCTTTGCGCTACATGCTAAAAGCACATTTCTAAGCCTTACTTCATTCACCGGGTACGTAGCTGAGTCCCTCTAGTGGCACAAAGGTTTATTTGGCTTCAGCGAGTTATTAAAATTCTATTTTACAGCCACATTATAGCAGCAAATTCACAGGTAGCTTTTCTGGACACTCAGAGCACTGTGGCAGAGTGAATCTTGGATTAGATGCTGTGCAGGCTGGTGCTAATGAATGTAAATTGATTTTCAGCTGTGAGGGGCAATTAGCGATGCACTGGAAGGAGAAGGGGATTTTCAAAAGGATGTTCAAGAACTAATTACTATCAGTAAGAAACACGCAAAAAGCAACGTAATACCCAGGACAGCCAATAGGGATAAAAGCTTATACACAAATCTGTCATGACCTAGTAGTGAAGACTGTTTAAAAACACTGATCTCCACTCCGCTTGTAAATGCGCATCACCCTCTTCCTCACTCGTATATTCTCTCTCTCTCTCTCTCTCTCTCTCTGACACACACACACACACACACGCTCCTGGATTTACAGAAGACAGACATCTAGGGCACTTCTTGGCATCCACAGGAAAATCATATGGGATTAAAAAACCACAGCAGTAAGTACTCACTGAATTAAATGTTGATTAAGTGGCATGCTGTCAAAACCTAGATTTAACAGCAAATACAGGAGGAGTTTAATGGAAATTGGTTGTATTTGATTTTTCTTAGGAATCACTGAAAGCTGCCTCTCGAGGATTACAACTTCACCTTTTGCTTTTACGGATGCTTGTTTACCATCCCTGTGGTGACCTCTGGACAGCCGGTAATCCATTCATTATCCACGCTGATTGAGTGCAGGAGTAGTGTGGTGGTAACTACTTCACCCAGCTAACGGCAGACGACAAAAGGAGGGGAATGATGAATTCGGACAATTTAACCTCCCAAAGCTTCCTCTCTGCAATTCATAGCAATGCCAGCAATTTATTCTCAGGACTCCAGTTTGTTCAGACCTTCAAGCCACTCATCATCCCCTGCTACTCGCTAGTGGTTTTTATTGGTGTCATCGGGAATTACCTTCTCATTTATGTTATCTGCAAGACAAAAAAAATGCACAACGTCACCAACTTTCTGGTAGGCAACCTGGCTTTCTCAGACATGCTAATGTGTGCGACCTGCGTACCCCTGACCCTGGCGTACGCCTTTGAGCCCAGAGGATGGGTGTACGGGCGTTTCATGTGCTACTTCGTTTTCCTGATGCAACCCGTCACTGTGTTTGTGTCTGTCTTTACCTTGACGGTCATAGCTGTGGATAGATACTATGCCATGGTGTACCCATTCCGCAGGAGGCTCACGATCCCTATTTGTGCTTATATCCTGGCTGCTATTTGGCTGCTGAGCTGTACCTTGGCTGCCCCAGCCTTGGTCCACACTTACCACGCAGAGTTCCCAGAACTGGATTTCTCCATCTGCGAGGAGTTTTGGTTCCACATGAAAAGAGATCGCTTAGCTTATGCCTACAGCACTCTCATCATCACCTACGTCCTGCCTTTGGCTGTCATCTCCCTGTCCTACCTGAGAATCTCAGTCAAGCTGAAAAACCGTGTGGTCCCAGGCAACGTCACCCAGGGCCAAGCTGAGTGGGACCGAGCGAGGAGAAGGAAGACTTTTCGCTTGCTGGTCTTAGTGGTGGCAGCCTTCGGAGTCTGTTGGCTACCTCTGCACATCTTCAACATGATAAAAGACATAGACATCAGCTTGATTGACAAGCAGTACTTCAATTTCATCCAGCTGCTGTGCCACTGGTTTGCAATGATGTCTGCCTGTACCAATGCCTTCCTCTATGCCTGGCTCCACGACAGCTTCAGGGGGGAGCTGAAGAAAATGTTTACCTGGAGAAAGAAAAAAATTGGACCTACTACAAATTGCATTATGGCCAGTGTGGTGCTGTAAATGAGAGCTGGTGGGAGTGTGCTTCCTTGGTACGGTAACTCTCTCTTTTCCACTATTAATTAGTCCCGATTCCTGACATTTGTCCTCAGGGCTCAATTATAACAACACAAGTCCCATGCGTAGCTTCCCCAGCACCTCCACTCCCACTGGAGAAGGAGAGACAGATGTCAAGTCCCAGAAATGTCTTTACTTTTTTGACAGGAGTTAGAGGTCAAGGATATGTTCTCACAGTAAAATACCCTTATCTAAACTACAGGGATCCCTCCTTTCTGTTTTGGGTAATACTGGCAGTACAGACATGGGATTTGGGGACAGGGAGAAGCAAGGATGAATATGAGACCTAAATATCTCAATGAAAGAAGTGCTTTGGATTGGGTAGAAATCAAATCTGCATATCTACCCAGGGTCCAGATCTTAGCACAGGATCCAGGGTGGAAGACTGCAATGTTCCTGTAGTCCTCTTGTTTTAGGGCTATGCTGAAGAATAGCCTAAGGCTCTCTGAAATGCCCTTCCTGAGCAGCTGTCCCAGCTGTGGGCAGGAGATCAGGGTGGTAGGAGCTTCTCCAAGCCTCCCTCTGCCAGATGAGTCATGCTGTCAGCAACAGTGTGCAGGAGTCTCCTGACTCCGGAAGGTGCGAGTGGTGTGGGGGGTGATGGCATCAGCTCACCTGCGCTCCCTCCAAATGCCTCTGACTACACAACTGGTTTGCTCGTGTGCCTGGAGACCCACACATGGATAAGGGCTCTGTAGCCATGCCCTGCATGGTTTCCTCCCTCGCTGCCATTTTCTCCTTGCTTCCGGCTGAGTGGCAGGGCTGCTCAACCTGCCTACCATGGCCAACCGCATCGGGCAGGAATCTACGCTTTATGCTCTTTGAACCTAGTGTCATGATGCAATCCCAAACCTCCTGTGTCTCGGGAACCTGCAGCACAGCATGTAGCAAGGTCAAGTGCGGTATTGCCAGAGAGGAAATAGAACCACAATGATGTTACTTCTGTGAGGTGCAACTGCGATGCAGGGTGTGGGACAGCCTTTTTGGTGGATTTGCTGATGCTGACACCAAGGATGGACAGACTGGAAACGTAATGTGTGGTGAAAACTCATCCAAACAGGGGGATGTTAAGACATACCACCGCTTTACTGACATTGAATTGCGTTCCTGCCATTGTCTCATGTAACCCCAATTTGCTGACCCTACCACAAGACAGCTGCGTTCCCAGCCAGAGGAGTGGATGTCGTCATAGACTTGGTGCCAAGATGCTTTCTGCTCATTCCTTGAGGAACTGATTTTGATGTGTGGCAATGCTACCTTCAGCTTTGATCTCCAGAGACAGCCAGAGACTTTGACACTATCTTCAGGAGCACTTCTGGAGGTGTCTGTTAAGAGGTGGTGGGTGGAAGGGGCTGTGCCATCGAGCGGTGTATGAGCATTGCGTGACCAGTCAAAGAAAGACTTGTCAAACGGAGTGGCAAGTGCTCACTTTTGAAGGAGTCTTTCAGGAAGGAACAATTTCTTTTGACATTCACCTTTCAATCAGATGAGGAAGTTAGAAGCTATAATCAACCTAATAGTTTCTAGTTTCTTCCTCCCTCTGTCTGAACTGAAAATATCCGAGATAATAGATAAGCGTAAGGGAAAAAGTTCTGAAAGCAGACATTGTTTCTGAAGAGGTTTCTTCCAGGCTGCTCAGCCAGAATCTGGGATGGCATGAGGAACTGACTGAGATCAGTTGGAGAAGCAGCACAATCCAGGGGCAGTTTTGGCCATGGTCAACAAGCTCATCTATCCAACCGCAACTGCATGTGACCAGAAACGCTTGGGCTGTGAGACAATGCAAATAGACAAGAGGGGAGAGGGAAGAAAGAGAAAAATGGTTCCTCTAGTTTGTAAATGTACTCCTGCTGTGAAACTGTGAATATCATTCTGCTCATCAGCATTCAGTAAAGTAATCTGGTTAAAAAAAATACACAGATGCATATGTACACCCTGGGAAAAGCATCAGAAGAACATTTGAAATCTCTTCTCACAAATACCCTTTGAATTTCAAGCTGTTCTATTGTTGGTAATGAACTGGATATTGGAAGCTGATTACAGAGACACTGAATCAAGAAAAGTCCTTTTAAAGTGGGTATGACTTGCATTCACTCTGCAATGAAGTGTATCTGCCTTGCTTGCCTCGATTTAAAGATTTGAATGACTTATTAAAGGATGTTTTGCTTTTGCTGCATTTTAGGAAATTGTTTTTCCTTCAAGCTCAATATAGCAAGCTACTGGAACAACTGGTGATTTTGAAAAGGCAAAAAAGCCTTCCAAACAAAACAACCACATTTTACAAGCTTTTCAGGTTCTGTTTCAGGGCTCTTTTGAAGAGAACAGAGAGTAGGACACCAAGAGAGCACTGAAACCACACTGCAAAGAGCAGCCTTAAATAACAATAAAATCCTGATTTTTAGAGATTTTTCTTCTATGTAATTATGTTACTTCAGGCTGTTAATTGGCCAGTTTGTAAAGGCTAATTAGCAGTGAGATGGCCCATAATGTTTACAACCTTGTGCACTAAATACAGACGGCGCTGTAATCCAGGGTGACCCAAAGCCCAGTGGAGTAACTGGGAAAGGCTCTTGTTAACACAGCAGGTCTGGGATCATTTCCTTCTTATACATTATGTTTTCACCCTCATTTGCTGGTGCTGCAGTTTGGCTTGTTAATCTTCTCTTGAACATTAGTGACTGCAAATGACTGCTGCGGAGAGCTGCACGAAGCAAACAACAGGGATTTTTCTCTCTTTTTTTTTTTTCTTTTTCTTTTTTTTTCCTTGAAACAGAAATGAAGGGCTGTTCAGTGCATATATAATTCCCAGAGTGACAGATGCACTGGGAACATAGAATCATAGAATAGTTTGGGTTGGAAGAGACCTTAAAGATCATCTAGTTCCAACCCCCCTGCAACCTGTTCCAGTGTTTCACCACCCTCCTTGTAAAACATTTCTTCCTTATATTTCATTGAAATCTGCCCTCTTTCAGTTTAAAGCTGCTGCCATCTCACTTCCATCAGCCCCCGGAGCTGCAGTTACAGCAGTGCTGAGATCTGTCATCTCAAGTTGGTCCTCAGGAGAGCCCAGCACAGCACGCACCCCTGTTTAAGAGCTGGTTTAACTTGTACATGCCTGGAATCTTTCAGGACTTGCATTTGCAACAGAAAGCTCAGAGCCTGCCGCTTGCTCCAGGCCCTTCTCAGGACTAGTTTTGCAGATGTACCCTGAAATGATCTGTGTTCCCAGCCATGGGCTCTTGAAGCTCCTTCTCTCTCCTCAGCAACCCCCTTGGCCCACCTCAGTGGTCCTGCAGGGCCGTTTCCAAGGCTTTTTCTGCATGGTGCACAAAGGATGTCCAACCTCGAGCAGGAGAGCTGGGGGTCCCTCACGCTGGCGGAGACAGAGCTACATTCACACTTGCTCAGCCCCATCTCTGAATTGAGCCCCAAGAATCTCTGCTCAATGTAATTACTGTTTTCTCTGATATCCAGAGTAATAAACAATAATAAGATTTAGAGGCACATTGATGCGCTTCTTTAATCCAGTTATGCAAATAATTATATTAAAAGTCGTCATGTGAAATGTGTTTGCTAATCTCCACTCCCCTCCAGGGACTTGCTGTGGTTCTCTGAGGGACCAAGGCTCATCACTACAGTATTTTTGGTGGTATAGTTTTTAATTAGTTTAAGAAAGCATTGCGTGTTTTGATTTTATAAAGTAGCCCAGTTCAAAACTTGATGAACCTATTAACTTTCCCCGTCAGCATTTTAGTTGTTGTTTCTTGCTTACATTCGAATTCAAGGACTCACACACTGCAGGGCAGCTGCTCTACGGGATGAAGCAGAGTTTACATCTGAGCTGAGGTATGGCAGAATGCTATATGTTCCTCATCTGCTGGAATTTCACTCCAGTTCCTACATACACCAAGAAACTTTTGGCAGGTAAAGCTCCAGGTCTTCTGCGTTTTACAGCAGCAAACACATGATACATATTTATGATGGCTCCTCGGATTATTCCTAAAGGACAGTCTCTGGCAAACATGCCTAGATGTACTATGGAGTTTGTAGACATGATCTGCAGTGGTGTTTTCACGTCAACATCAAATGCATTAGGCAGCAAGTGGGTTATCAGAGCACGGTGAGTCTTGCGCTTCGGAAACGGAGGGCCCGCTTATGACCACACTTACTCATTGTAAAAATCATCTAGATTTCACTGGGGCTAAACCTCTACAGCTCACAAGGCTCTGTATATCTTAAACATGGAGATTAATAGAGATATAGAAGGAGTTGATGGGGAGAGGCAGGGATGAGATGTCTCCACTTAAAGTGAAGAGCACAGATTT